TCCTTCTCCAAAACTGAAGAGAGAAGAAATGAAGAAAACGAACGAACAGGCATGCATGACTATGGTAGAGATACTCTCACTGGCAAAAGGGAATCGCTCGCCGATTCATGCATCGATTGATCCATCGTCTGCTGGATGAGCTAGATGACGATGACGATGAGCATCTAATCATGCGGCCGGTTGAGCACATGCATGCACCGCTGCCGCTGCAAAGGCAACTCAACACACACACACCCCACCCCGATCCAATCCACCTGCAGGCTGCCGCAAGTTGCATGCAACATGCATGCATGCGCGTCATAGATAGTCCAGACTGCGCCGCGCCGGAAGATCGAACCAGACCAACAACCCGGCCGCAAGCAGTGGTCGACGGCGGCGGAGCGGCGGTCCGCGCGACCGCATGCGTTTATCACTGTTCCAGATCTTGACATCGGCCCGTTCGTCTGGTACGGTTGTCTACCGTGTCCTAGTTTGTTTCAGCTGGTTCTGACTGATTTAATAATGTTCTATAAGAGAGAATAAGCTGAAACAAGCTGAGCCGAGCCGAGCTGAGCCGAACACGCGGGATCATCGTTGGTTCAAAAACCACCATCATCGCTGGAATTTGAATCGACAGTGGCATAACGACAGTGACGGAGGATTAACATTGCTGTTGGTTCTTATAAACAGATACTGATGTGAAACCGGTAGTAACATAGAAAGCCAAAAAATACACTGAAAAAATAGGGAAAAAAATAATATAAGGAGAGGTCCCACTGTGCAGCTATACGGTCGCGCGTCGTAAGTCATAAGTCACGCAATACCAGGGAGCCACCAGGCAGTTTTTGCCGTGTGCGTGTGTGCTTGTTCATATGCACGCATCCTGTTCTGTATCCAGCCCTTTTCGTATGTTAGATTGTCTCGAATACGTGATTTATATGGACACCTAAATCCAAAATAAGTAGTAGGAGATCTAAAATTAGCCTCTAATAGAGTACGTATACGGGAGACTAATTTTGGGTTAGCTGAGAGGCACAACCTAAATATGAGTATCATTTCTTCTAAAAACTCATTTACAGAAAGGATTCTTTTTTCTGTTGTTGGAGAAGATATCAAATGAATATTGAACCTTTGCCTATAGCACTATTTAAACGTTGAATGGTGCTGTATTTTAAATGCTGTTGTTGTTGGAGACAAGCTAAGGCCATTCCCGACCGATGCTGCTGAATAACCTACGACTACGAGAGGACGACGCAGCAGCTGGGAAGGTGCAAGTGCAATGTATACTCCTATTGTACCATAGGACTTTAGGATCTTGACATCTTGTGTACTGTATGTGTGACCGAACGGGACACTGGCTTGTGCAGGAGGGCAGGAGCCATACTTTTCAATTGCAGGCAGAAGTCGCTGTCATGGTTGTACTCGGCACCGCTGCGCGCGGTAGTACGTGTTTGTTTCGGTAGGACTTCAATTTTGGATAGTTCATGTTACAGTATATTCGACGGGTTTTTCTGGTGTCCGGATGCTCGGACGGACGAACAGGGCATCTGAAAGCTTCCGTTTTTATGCGTCCACACGGGGCCTACACCGCCCTGAATATTACCAGCGTCGAACCAGCGTCGAGAAGAGAGGGGAGGTAGCCGGCACCAGGAGGAGGAGGAGGAGGAGGAGATCGAGACAAGTAGCAGTAAAGAGACGAGAGAGATACAACCCCCATTTTATTTTTGAAACACGTCACTTTATCTTGGAGGCGCTCGGCTTCCAACTCCCCTAAGGAACACAATCTACGCTAAGCTCGTGGAGGAAGCTGTGAAAGCTTTCTGACGGGCAGCAGCGTAAGGGGCTCGATTCTTTGTGTTGCGCTAGTGTCTTGGCAGGTGTGGAAAGAACGGAAAGCAAGATGTTTCCGAGAATCCACCACTATGAGCTTGTTCGCTTGATTATATCAGTCATACTTATCAGTCATGATACAATGTTTTTCTCTCATAATAAAACAGTATTAGTCGGTTTATAAACCACATAAATGTTCAAGCGAACATGGTGATGATCGCTGAAATGCTCCAGATCGCTGAAATGCTCCAGATCATCAAGATGGAGGCAGATCGCTGGATCGAAGCCGGAGCGGCTAGAATATGGGCGTTGGCTCATCGGTAGCAGGGTAGCAGCGTCTCGCCAGGATGTATTTTGTTGTGTTAATCAAAATGTAGTCCGCTGCTATCACCGGCTTGGCTGGACGTGAACTCTTTCCTTCTTAGATGCAATGATACGTAGATCTCATGCGTGTTTGAAGAAAAACGAAATATCTAAACGTAACACTTGCAACATATATTTGAAGGCATATAAAATACTTAAAACATGCATCCGAAATACTTACAAAAACATCTGAAAATACTTAAAAAAATATTATAAAACATGTGCACCATCCCGATAAAACAATTGCAACATATGTATCAAATATATGCAACATCCAAATAAACACACTTGCAACGTACGTCTGGAAAACAGATGAAACATTAGGAACAGAAGCTTGCAACATATGTGTAGAACCATTGCAACAAATGCATCATCCCGGTCTACTTTTGCAACATCCACATGAACCACTTACAACATACCTCTAAAATATCTAAAACACTTGAAACATATGCTTACAACATGCGTTTTTCACTCTTCTTCTCTGCGACGCAGCGTAGAGCGGTGGATGGGCAGGTGGAGCCATGGAGAGCAGTGCTGCCGCGGCCCCTTCTGGAGTCGACCAGATGGGACAACGGGGATAGGCTGCTAACGAGCTAAGCCATTTGGATAAACACACAGATCATAAATTTACTAGTCAGTGATACCAAACATTGACAAAATACAGTATAAGAAATATCCAAATTTATCAATCAGAGGTCTATCTCTCAGTGCATGACAAACTTGGGGAGAATTTTTATATTTTAAACCTTTTTTTATTCAATATTTTAATAATAATCGCTTCTAAAAAAATTGTGGATTTGACCATTTTGGTCGCGCCAGCGTCGTTGGCGCGACCAAATAACGTTGTCGCACCACATGCATTGGCGCGGCAACATATGCCACATTAGACGGCGTTTCCGACGTGAAAAACGCTGTCACGCCACTCCCGCTGGCGTGACAGTATTGTTATGTCGTGTCACCGGGTGTGGCGTGATAAGACAAAACCGTTGAAAAATCATAACTCTTTTATATGATATCGGATGAAGATGAAATTTATATGAAAATTGTAGCTCTCGATGAGATCTACAACTTTGTAGTTTTAAGTTTTTTTATTTCAGGACGTTAAGATGCTCAAAAAAATTATATAAAACTTCAGGAGCATAATATCTACGTACAAGTGCTTGTCATATTAGAAAAATAATATCTTTTTTGTATGTTGTCCAATGAAGATACTTTTTACACAAAAATTGTAGCTCTCAATGAGATCTACAACTTTGTAGTTTTGAGTTTTTACATTTGAGATCGTTAAGATGCACGAAAAATTAATATAAAATTTCAGCAGCACAATAATCACTGTATTAGTGTTTGTCGCATTAGAAAAATAATATCGTTTTTGTATGGTGTCCAATGAAGATATATTTTATATCAAAGTTGTAGGCTTTAGTGAGATCTACAAGTTTATAGTTTGGAGTTTTCATATATGAGGTCGTTAACATACTCTAAAAACTAATATAAAGTTTTAGCAGCATATTAATCGCGCATCAAAGCTTATCTTTTTAGAAAAATCATATATTTCTTATTTGATGTCACATAAAAATATTTTTTAAATAAAATTTGTAGATCTCCCTAAGAGCTACAACTTTGATATAAAATGTATCTTCATTTAACACCATACAAAAACAATATTATTTTTGTAATGCGACAAACGCTAATACGCGATTATTATGTTTCTGAAATTTTATATTATTTTTTCGTGCATCTTAACTATCTTAAATGTAAAAACTCAAAACTATAAAGTTGTAGAACTCATTGAGGGCTATAATTTTAATGTAAAAAGTATTTTCATTTGACAACATACAAAAAAGATATTATTTTTCTAATACGACAAGCACTTGTACGTGGTTATGTTCCTGAAATTTTATATTACATTACCTTTTTGAGCATTTTAACTTCCTTAAATGAAAAAACTCAAAATTACAAAGTTGCAGATCTCATCAAGAGCTACAATTTTCATATAAATTTCATCTTCATCAAACGTCGTATCAAAGAGTTATGATTTTTCAAAGGTTTAGTCTTATCACGTCACTCCCGGTGGCGCGACAGAACAATCCTGTCACACCAGCGAGAGTGGCATGACAGCGTTTACCAAGTCGAAAACGCCGTCTAACATGGCGGATGTTACCGCGCCAATGCATATGGCGCGACAACGTTATTTGGTCGTGTCAACGTCACTGGTGCTAAAAGAGTAAAATCCGCAAAAAAAAATTTAGAAATGATTATTATTAAAATATTGAATAAAAAGGATTAAAAATAAAAAAAAATCCCTGGGAAGCAATTTAACGACAAGTCTCAAACGAAAGATAGACCAATTGAAGAGATCTCTTGGTTTACTCTGAAATCTAATGGAGTCTTTTTTTTTTGACAAAGAATCTAATGGAGTTTTTTTTTACAAAGAATGTAATGGAGTTATATATATTAGCTTGTTCTAAACTCCTCGCAAAGAAAATTTTCTAAACTGTATCTTTTTTTTTTTTTGTGGTAGCTTACATTCTTACGCATTTGCTTGCATCGCAACACGTACACTAGTCGTCATTGAAAAGAACAGTTCAGTTAAGCATCAAATTAAAAGAAAGCAGCTAGCGCCGTGAAATTTCCATCATCCTGGATTCGATGGGCAGTGCAATAATCGACCCTTTTTCAAACATATCCGTGATGTGTCGCAGTTTGGGAGTACCATTAACATCACGTCGCAGAGTGCAATGAACTTGGCTTGATGCGGTTGTTTCCTGCTGGTTTTTGACGTGTGCGTTTCTCCTTCCTGCGTTTTCATTGGACTGTCACCAGTCTTGTCATTGCAGGTCGTTCTCGATGTCGGGTGTGTAAGTGTGCCCTGCATGACTGGGCAGTGCAATAATCGACCCTTTTTCAAACATATCCGTGATGTGTCGCAGTTTGGGAGTACCATTAACATCACGTCGCAGAGGGCAATGAACTTGGCTGGATGCGGTTGTTTCCTGCTGGTTTTTAATCGACCCTTTTTCAAACATATCCGTGATGTGTCGCAGTTTGGGAGTACCATTAACATCACGTCGCAGAGTGCAATGAACTTGGCTTGATGCGGTTGTTTCCTGCTGGTTTTTGACGTGTGCGTTTCTCCTTCCTGCGTTTTCATTGGACTGTCACCAGTCTTGTCATTGCAGGTCGTTCTCGATGTCGGGTGTGTAAGTGTGCCCTGCATGGCTGGGCAGTGCAATAATCGACCCTTTTTCAAACATATCCGTGATGTGTCGCAGTTTGGGAGTACCATTAACATCACGTCGCAGAGGGCAATGAACTTGGCTGGATGCGGTTGTTTCCTGCTGGTTTTTGACGTGTGCGTTTCTCCTTCCTGCGTTATTTCATTGGACTCGGTCACCAGTCTTGTCAGTGATTTATTGTGAGAAAAATATTGTTCGTTAACCGAAAAAATACGGATTATAAGCAAGTAAACAGGGCACTTTTGCCCCGTTCGTTTGGCCGCTCAGATGGTTCTGTTGACCAGCATTGCTCCATTAGTGACCTCCACTCTGGGTCACAGGAGTCGGGCACTGGCGGCCGTAGAGTGTTGCTCACAATGCCACCTGCATACAAAAGGTCATTTTAGGTTTAGATCTAATCAATAAGGATTATTGACCACATCTACTACAATAGAACTCCCACGGGGTAAGAAACACTTATGCCACAGCAGATTTGTACCCACCTATTATAACACCATAGTGTAAATCTGCATATGGCTCTTCTCCTGTTAGCAGTTCCCAGAGAACAATCCCAAAAGAGAATACATCAACCTGAGGCCAGCATAGCAACATTTGTGTCAGTTCCAAGTGAGAACTTGGAAGAGCCAGTATGTCAACATTCATGTGTCAATTCTATGTGAACTTCAAGGTGCCAGCAGAACCAAAAGAATACTCCAAATCATATGTATACTGAAGAATAGAAACCAACTATCACACCTTTTCTGAGACCAAGCTGCTGCTACCATTCAGAAGTTCTGGGGCCATCCATGGAAGTGTTCCCCGGACACCTCCAGAGATGAGGGTCTGACACTTCACTTTTGAAAGCCCAAGGTCACCAACCTACAAATATAGGAAAAGAGGTATTGTTTAGTGTTACCCAAATTATGGAAGCTAATATCCCTACATGCTTAACATGCTAAGATGTTAATGCATGGCATCCAACTATAACAGCATACAAAATTCAGATGGCAAACAAGCAATTCTGAAGCTACATACAAGACCATATCAGACTATTAGCATTTCTTTCTCATTAAACTGTACATCCATGCACTCCATTCAAGTTTGTACTTTTATTCACAGTACAACGAAAGGAACTGTTCCATCATCTAGTCAATTGTATTCCATATTTCTTCAAGTGCCAATAATAGGATGTGTCAGTTAACCCACAAGGCCACAATGATCCCCAGCTAAGGTGTTTAGTCCTAGATTGTATAGCAATAAACATCATTTGTGTTGTAAGACTTTTCTTTATGCAGCACCGAGTCCATGACAGAAACTGCTACATCGAAGCATACATATTACATGTTCATCCAAGTGCCAATCAGAAACCTCAGTTTGTGATACCCATCAAATGTGTATAATTTTAGAGACACATAACAATTTGCTTAAGTAACAAGTATTATCTGTGGATAAGAGTCCAGTCCTATCAGCAGTTCTTGAGCTGCCAAACTAAATGCCCATCTCATAATAGTAACAAGTAATGTACTTCAAACTTACAAAAGCATTTTGTTTTACAGCAACAACATATAGTTTACTGCTAAACATGGAAAGTTGATACAGGATGGTCTCCCTATGTCAAGCAAAGTGAATATGACAAACAAGAGAAGTCAGTGATCTAGCAACTAAGTGCAAGAATAGTATAATAATAGGATTGACTGTGCTGCTTACCTTGCATATTGGACGCTGAGGGTCCCTTAAATTAACAAGCAAATTGTCACTTTTCAGGTCAAAGTGCACGATGTTTTTGCTATGCAAGTATTCCATTCCAAAGGCTGTATCCATGGCAATAATTAATCTCTTACGTCAATCGAGGGTTCTGCCCAGAAAAAAGTAAACATCAGCGCCATGTAGCACCATCAATTTCTAATTATGAGCAGCATATATCATTACAGAAGGTGACTTATATGCAATGTAAAAGGAACGGACTTGGCATTCTTTAGCAAAGCTGTCCTAAGTGAGCCATTGACCATATATTCTGTAACTGTGGCAATGGATCCCCCAGGTCCATCAAGAACACCACCATAAAAAGCGACAACATTTGGGTGGTGCAGATCGGCAAGTTTAGATGCTTCATTCCAGAAGTCAGACCGCTGAAAATATTCAAGGCATATCAATATATAGACAAGCTTAAGAAAAAACAAAGATATGAAGTATGAGAATAAACCATCTTTTCTTGCTCAGATGGTTTCCCAGCAAAACATCTATCATTGATTCGTTTTATTGCAACATCAGTGCCTCTCCATTTACCATGATAGACAGTTCCAAAAGTTCCAGAACCAAGCTCTTGGAGCTCTTCAAGGTCATTGTTCTTTATAACCTGCAACAGCCATGGATGCAAAATGCTATAACCACGGTACGATATTAAAGATGAACACGCTTAATAAGCTATACTATGATCCTAACCTGCAGGCATCCATCTGAAACTGGAAATCCTGAAATCCAATCTGCTGGCCTGCTCTTGGAAACCAGCACGCTTCCCTTGTTTAGCATTTTGGCTAACATAAATGAGGACATTTAGGAGCATCTAGATAATCAGTTCCTAACCTCGTTGGGGTGGACTTCACCTTCTACTTTATTGGTAACAGCCCCAACTCCATCATTTACCAGAGGAGGTTGAGGCTCGGATGACTGAGCTTTAGATGTAGCTAACCCATCCTCCATACTCAGTAAATCTGGGTTAGAGATGTCATCACCTGGATTGATGATCGACATGAATAAAACTCACAAGTATATTGACAAGGTTTCAGAGTAAAGTAAGAATGGAATATTTGTGATATAAAAAGCATGTGTTGCATCTGTACCTTTGTGATCTGACTGTTTCTGGAGAGAAACATCCTCAGCTGGAATATTCAGATCTGGCCCTTTGCAGTTCAACAAAGAGTTGTGTGGATGGGGATCCTTTGGGCTGATGTTCTCCCTGCTTGCTACCCTCTTAGGTCTTGGTGGCAGTGCATGTGCATTTGCAGCTGCTTGATCCACATATGGAGCATGGTTTGGCAATGCTGCTGTCGGCAACTGAACTGTGTTTGGAGGAGCTACGACTTCATGTGGAGCTTCCTTGTGATAAACTTCAGGCGGAACATCTCTTCTCTCACTCACTGGATTAACAGTGGCATTTGGATAGACCATATCAATACCATAAGTTGATTGAGGCAATCCACCAGGTCCGACTGTAGCAACAACATAACTAGAATAGAGTCCCCCAATGCTCATCATATGTGGCACATGGCTCATATTAACATGCTGGACATTGTGCAGATAAGAGCTGGCCGCAGAAGGTGGTGGTGCAGATTCAGTTTGAAGCAATACCTTTGGTTCACTAACATCAAAAAAAGTATTGGTGTTGCTTGGATGAACCTCATTTGCTCGGGTATCTGGCCAGGTACTGATACTATTCTCTGGATGCCCCTGAGAGTGATCTGGCACTGCATTCTGGGGTAAACCACTGTCAGGAGACATTGCATGTTTCCTTTTTTCAGTAGAGCCAGAAACCTCGCTGGGGCTCATCCGGAGTGAATCCATCATCCTGTCCACATTTGCCATGTACGTTGGCACAGCCACAGGTGCTACTGGAGGCGCATTGTCACGATACACCTGTCCATCCTCACGATGGCTTGAATTGCCACTTGCACTACCTTCACCAGCAAGCGGGTTATTGGGACTAGCAGGCTTCACTGAATAGTGAGGCATCCCATGGCCAGAAGGTAAATGCTGCTGTGACTGCTGCACAAATTGATGATGAGAGCTCGCAACATCAGTATGGGCAGAACTTGGAGAAACTACTCTGTCCTTCTCGCTAGGAATCACAGGAATATGGCTAAACCCATAGGTCGATGGCAACTGTTGCGGCGGCATTTGCTGCTGCTGCTGCTGCACATACACATGCTGATGCAAGCCAGTTGGATCAATGAGCACTGAGTTTGTAACCCCTTCCATCTTGGGCACATACACCCTCTCCTGTGGCACTGGATGCATATGTGTGTATCCATAAGCCCCCATTGGTGCCTGAACACCCCTCTCTGGTATCATCATCCTTGCCACATCTTCAGGAAGCAGGCTCATGAACACAGGCCCGGGCTCAGGAGCAGCCCCTCCATGCACCTCATTGCCATACTCATTCACCACCAGATCAGAGTGGGCGTGAGGCAATGCCTTCAAGCACATGTGGCAGTCCTCGAATCTTGGACCGTGACCTGGTGGCTGCTGATTCAGACCCTGAATGGCATCTCTATGATCGTTCATGAACACAGGAGGCAGTGGTGGCAGCTGTGATAGTGGTTGCCGGTACCTCGCTGCCTCCGGATGGGGATGTGTAGCTACCTCTGGATGCGGATGTGGATTCGCCTGGGGAGCCCTCCCTTCAGCAGCAATCTCCTGTGGCTTAACCTGTACTGAAGCAGGAGCAGCATTGCTCAAGACATCAACAAGGGGCGGAGGCGCCACCCCAGCCCCACTGATGTTCGATCTCGCAGCATCATTTGAGCTAGTGGAGGTGGGGGAGAGCCCAGCTGGAGACCCAGGACCGCCGCCGCCACCTGACGGCGCCGGAGGGGGCAGCCCCCCATCAGAGCACTGCGTGGACGAGAGGCTCGCGATGCTGTCCTTGCGCACAATGCCGTTGACGGCCTCCAGGTACCGAAGGCCCGCGTCGAAGCTCCCGGTCTCCAACTCCTCCCCGCCGGTGGCGCCGATGCCGCCCGCCGCATCCAGGATGGGGAAGATGAACACCCTCAGCTTCGGGCTGGCGCCGCTGAGCTTGTCGTACTCCTCGACCATGTTATCGAGATCCTCCGGCGACGACACGGAGATGAGTGCATCGAGCCCTTCGTCGGGGAGCTGGTACTTGACGGCGAAGTGCGGGCCCGTGGCGCCGCCGTACGCGTCGGCGAGCCGCGCCAGGAGGTCCGGCAGCGACACCCCGCGCGGCACGGACACGATCCGGGTGTCCCCGCCCGCGTACCGCAGCGTGCCGTCCCCCGGGCGCGGGAGGATGCGCCCGCCCAGGCTGCACAGCAGCTTCATCCGCTCGCCGCCCCCTCCGCCGCCGACGCTACCGCTGTCGTCCGACGCCCCGGCGGTGGCGGCCATCCGCGCCGGCTGCGCCCACCACCCCTCCCCTCCCCTCCTTCGTGAACCTCCCTCCTCCCCCTGCTGGATTTAGCCTCGGGCTCCACCCACGAATCCAAACCCTAGCCCCCGCACGGCCCCGAGGCGCTGGCGCGGGCGGAACGAAGAGCAGAGGACTGGAGCGGCGACTGGCTCAGGCCCCGTTCGGCCGGAGGGTTTTTCGAGGAGAGTGGAGGAACGTGGACGAAAAATACTGTTCTAGACCAAATGTTGCGATAGAAAAACACAATTTTGGATAAAAAAAAAGTGAATCAAGTTAGGTTCAAGGGAACGCGAACGGGACCTCAATGTTGAGCTCATGGCTGGGCCGCGTCGTCGCTTGGTTTGCGTGGAATGGGAGGGAGGGAGACGGGGAGAATTTTATTTTATTTTTAACACATTTTTTAAACTAATTTTAAAACTAACACGGCGCGGCGAGGCTGCGTACGTGGTAGCGACCAGGGCCGCTGACCGGTGACGTGGCCGGCTCTGTCGCGCCACCGATCAGGGCGCGGCGGTGACGCGCCACGCATCATGGCGCGGCAGTGACGCGCCACCATCCAGGGCGCGGCAAAGTCTAATATAGGCCCGCGGCCCAGTCCCGTCCCTCCCTCTCTGTTTCAGTCGCCAGGGCACAACAGCCGCCTCCGTGCCGCCCTGCCCCCGCCAGCGCGCCTCCCAGCCCACACCGCCGCGCCATTGCCTCCCAGCTCCTCCACGGCCGGCCGCCGAATTTTCCTCCCTTGGCGTTCCCCTCCATACCTTCCCCGAAGCTCCTCCTCAGCCTTGTCAAGGTAATGAAGCTCCTCCTCGACCTTTACGGTGGATCGAATGATTTGAATGAGTAGGTAGGGTATGAAGGAAAATATAAGTCCGTTAGAACGTTGGATTAAAGGATTAGGATTAGGATTGTCAATGTTAAGGTTAATTGGTTAGTTAGAATTATGATTACCATGTATTTTGCTTGTTTGAGTTTGCATCTCTACTTTTATATGTGAATAAATATATGGACACGCGGTTGATGTACCAAATTTTATTTTTTACTGACCAAAGTATAGTTTTTATATAGTTTTCATGTTTGCATCTAAGATAGAGTTTGCAATAAAGTGTAGGTTATATTTTATTTGTTGTAATGCAAATGGTTCTCATTGATATGAATTTGTGATATTTTGATTTTTGTTTGTTAAATTACAACCGTTTTGTTATATGCAAGAAATGTATTAGGAGGAGTTTTGGCGAAAACAGGGTTGTCCTTGAGAATTATACCCCGACGCGTCTAGCAAAGATGCTCCCATCTCTCCTGACCTCCATGTCTCTAACTGTGACTGTGGTTTCCCGGCCGACGTGTTTCAATCGAGACATCCAGACACAGCGACGCATTGCTTCTACATATACAGTCGTTTTAATGTAAGTAATTTTTTCCACTATCTTTTTTTCTTTATTTGTGTAAGTAGGCTACTAATATTTGGTTGGAATCTTGTTATGTAGGACCATGAGATGTGCTTTTTCTTTTAGTGGATCGACAGTGCAGAAAAGTTTGACCTTAGGTATCTCCTTTTCGACGATTGGTGTAGACGAAGACATCCACGTGAGCACTTCCAGCGGTGGGTTCCACCCCCCTAACCTCCCGCCAATGACGGCTAAGGAGAAGCACCTAGCCGTAGTTAGACGACTCGAGGAACCTCCTCTGTGTGAATACGAAGATCGAGCTGTGATAAACCCGAGGAATATGTTGGAGTTTGTGTGTCCGAACAAACACGAAGTAAGTGGAAAGTGTATCTATTTAAATGTTTATCTCTATATGTGTACGTGTACTAATGTATTCTCTTGTAGCGTTATGGATTTGTGAAGTGTTGTTTCAATGAGTGGCTCTACGGTCCTAAGAATCAATGGCCGGAGTCACCAAAGGCAAAGGAAAAGAAGAAAGAAAGGTTAATTTACAAAGCACCTCCAGTCAAGTGTGAATGTGGTGTTAAATCCAACTATGGTCTAGTCCCTTTAAAGCTTGGAATAGGCCATTATTGCGGCCATATGGTTGACTATGATGAGGTTGATTATTTTTGTGGTAAACATGAAATTGTATTTTGTTTCTTTTTGCTAAGACATATATAATATAATTTTTCGTTTCAACAGAGCACTAGAAAATGCAGGTGGGAATATTATGATGGTCAAGCTAAGTTCTTGGATGAACTGAAGGGAAGGTAAGTAATTGCACGGAAGAGGAGATATGGACCTGACTATGTCAACCTATTCATTAAACATCATAAAAACAAGATGCGTGAGTTTGCTAAATAGCGCGGTATTTGTAACACGATTGATGTTGGGCTTGACAAATGGGGATTGGAGAGATAGAGGAGGTTAGAGGAGGAGAGGGCAAGGAAGGAGGCAAGAGAGAAGACAAGAGTACAGATGTAGCTCTTGAATGAGCATGTTGTTGCATTATGTGCCAGTGAGTGCTTGAAAACTTTTTTTATTGCCAGATTTTAAATATAATATAATCACATTGCTAACTGACTGTATTTTATACATGAATGGATTGGATGCAGCGAGGACCATGACGTAGAGGTGGTTCATGCAAGGTATGAGGAAAATAAGTTAGATGAGTACAGAACGCGAGCTGGTCGCACCGTTCAAACATCGATTGTGTTGTCTGATGAGGGGGACGAGGATGAGGATGACACTACCAGGTTGAGCGATCTCATCGCTCTTGCTGAGGTGGGCTTGCAGGTGGAGAAGGCAGAGGACGACACTGGCAGACTGAGCGAGCTCATCTCTCTAGCAGAGGCGGGCTTGCAGGTGGAGGAGGCTGAGGATGACACTGGCAGACTGAGCGAGCTCATTGCTGTAGCTGAGGCGGGCTTGTAGGCGGAGGAGGCTGAGGACGACACTGGCAGACTGAGCGAGCTCATTGCTCTAGCAGAGGCGGGCTTGCAGGCAGAGGAGGATGACGACGTGTAACTAGGACTCTGCAATTACAATATATGTAGGGATGAAAACGGATCGGATACGAACGGATATCACTCATATTATATTTGTTTTCATATTTCTGTTCGGATTCGGATTCGGACACGGATAGCGTTCGGATACATATACGAATACGGATTGACTTCGATTCTGGGATCTGAATAATGAGTATCGAATACGGTATGAATCGGATTCGGAGAAGGTCGGATACAAATATCTATTCGGATATTGAGTAAAAGCAGTATATATATATATCATACATGCGCAAACCATTACACCACTCTATGAGTCCATAATCCATCTAGATTAAGCCGAAAGACTAAAGAGTAAAGCAACAAATAAGATAAAGATACGTATACATCATACATCAAACATCATATAAGCACTAATCTTCATGGCATGAGTAGAAATAGCCAAGCACATTGCTTCATGGGTCTCATGGAGTCATGGTCATGGATTCAAGATCTACAATCCTTATATAGGCCATTTTTCATTTTGAGAAAGTTTGAACAAAATGTAGTTCAAATTTCACAAGTGTGTGTGACATAGTTTTAGAAAGTCTGTATGAGATTTAAGAATTTGTTACTAGTATTTGATAAAACTTTCTCAAATGGGAAAATGAGCTATGTAACAATTGTATATCTTGCTGAGATGATCAAACTTGGTATTCAGAGTTTTTTCATCTGAGGTCATTTAGTGTCTCATTTGAGCAAGTTTGACCAAGTCAAATTTGGTCAAATGAAAAAACAACACTTTGACTCTAGTATTATGAACTCTAAATGACTTCAAATTGAAAAGTTTTGAATACCAAGTTTGTTCAACTCATCAAGATCTACAATTCTTGTTTTGGTCAACTTTCCATTTGAGATAGTTTGGACGGTTCAAATTTGTGATTTTTAAATTTCGATGTTTACAAACTAGTTTTCGGAACCCTAGATTGTCTCAAATTGAAAAGTTTTGAATACCAAGTTTGTTCAGCTCATCAAGATCTACAATCCTTATATAGGCTATTTTTTCATTTGAGAAAGTTTGAATAAAATGTAGTTTAAATTTCACAAATGTGTGACATAGTTTCAGAAAGTCTATATGAGATTCAAGAATTTGTGACTAGTGTTTGATAAAACTTTCTCAAATGGGAAAATGAGCTATGTAAAAATTATAGATCTTGCTGAGATGATCAAACTTGGTATTCAGAGTTTTTTCATCTGAGGTCATTTAGTGTCTCATTTGAGCAAGTTTGACCAAGTCAAATTTGGTCAAATGAAAAAACAACACTTTGACTCTAGTATTATGAACTCTAAATGACTTCAAATTGAAAAGTTTTGAATACCAAGTTTGTTTAACTCATCAAGATCTACAATTCTTGTTTTGGTCAACTTTCCATTTGAGATAGTTTGGACGGTTCAAATTTGTGATTTTTAAATTTCGATGCTTACAAACTAGTTTTCGGAACCCTAGTTTGTCTCAAATTGAAAAGTTTTGAACACCAAGTTTGTTCAGCTCATCAAGATATACAATCCTTATATAGGTTATTTTTTCATTTGAGAAAGTTTGAACAAAATGTAGTTCAAATTTCACAAGTGTGTGACATAGTTTCAGAAAGTCTATATGAGATTTAAGAATTTGTGACTAGTGTTTGATAAAAATTTCTCAAATGGGAAAATGAGCTATGTAACAATTGTATATCTTGCTGAGATGATCAAACTTGGTATTCAGAGTTTTTTCATCTGAGGTCATTTAGTGTCTCATTTGAGCAAGTTTGACCAAGTCAAATTTGGTCAAATGAAAAAACAACACTTTGACTCTAGTATTATGAACTCTAAATGACTTCAAATTGAAAAGTTTTGAATACCAAGTTTGTTCAACTCATCAATATCTACAATTTTTGTTTTGGTCAACTTTCCATTTGAGATAGTTTGGACGGTTCAAATTTGTGATTTTTAAATTTCGACGTGTACAAACTAGTTTTCGGAACCCTAGATTGTCTCAAATTGAAAAGTTTTGAATACCAAATTTGT